TCTCAGTTACAGTACATGGTTCCTGCGACCGTGACACCGCGCAGCTGTAAAGCAACGCACTGCATGAGAACCACTCACAGGTCGCTGTCGACGAGATGGTTCTACGTGTCTTCGTGTCACCTTGAGGTCGAGGTGCTGCTATCACGGCATTCGCTGGACAGCCGCTTCGCTGTAGCGTCGCTGGCCAGACGCGCGCTTGCTACCACGTGTGGAACACCGGTAGGCCATTCCCGCAGCTAGGCCTCAGCTTGCCTGGCTTGGTTGCCCCCGGAGTCACCACCTCGCTCACGGGTCTTAATGGTGACGCTTGTTCCGTCGTCGCCCGGCGTTGCTCGTCGTCCAGGTTCGCCTTTGGTCCATCCGTTAGAGGTTTTGTGCCGCAACTGACTGGTAGCTATCGCAACCCTCGGTAGCTGTCACAAGTGGCTCAACCCGCCTGGCATCTCGAGCGTTCCAATTTCGTTCGTCTTCGCCCTGCTCTTTCATAAGTGGAGCCACCGCGCATAACACAAATTTTCATCCTCTTTTCACCTCTATATACACGCTGTACTAAAAACGTACTCCACTCGTCACAAGAAGGCAACTGGGGTTTCTACCACCCTCCCTTCTCGCAATGACACAGATCACGAAGAGGATTCAAAACAAGTTGGAAAGAAAGCAACAGCATCCACTCCTAATTTGGCCCATGTCAGGAGCCACATCAACTCGAGCCTCTAGCGCAGTCATTGGCCGAGTGTGCGGATGCTCGCCTCTCACCAAGTGCCACCTTCACAAAGGAATCTCAGTCCGTATCCCACCCGAGGGCGACGTCATCAAAGAGCTGCCACGGCAAGTCGCGGTTGCAGCTGAACCCAAGGCTTCTGGCCTAGTAGGCGTGATGGCACGTGACACATCGCAAACACTGGAAGGGCATGATTTCGCTTACAAGCCTGCATCTGAACTCTGCTCAGCAAGGTCGCAGATGCCTAGCGGGACACCGCATCGCAACTCGGTGCACCCCGAAAAGAGCAGATGCTACCGCTCACTGCGAGTAGTCGTGGTAAAGCATTCTGCATTTCCGTGTCATGTCTTCCCAGCTGCGAAGTGGTTGCCGTCAGAATAACCTACAACCGATGCGACCGCATTGCATCAGCCACACCCACCTGCTAACAGGGCAATCTGAAAGTCACCACATTTCTTCGATTGCACAGCAAAGACCAACTAGACAGGTTTGCAATGACCAACTCGAAACAGCCAGTGTCATGCACCAGACTATCTGGCATTGATTGATACGAGGAGTGTAACGTCCCAAAATCACCATATGAATATTAGAGACACCATATACAAGTGCTCCGAAAATTTTGACCATCTGAGGCTCTTTGAAGTGCACTAAAATCTGAACACACCGGCATACAGCATTTTCACCTCCATCAAAAATGTAGACACCGCAGTCGAGATTCGATCCCGCGACCTGCAGGTCAGCAGCCTAGTACTTTAGCCACTAGACCACCGCGTTGATGCCGAGTATCTGGCATTTCAGCCGGAAAAGTCCAGGCGTGTTCATGACTGACCACAATGGCACCTCCAGTGTCACCCTCTAGAGACTACATCGGTAGCTCCGTGCGCTCACTGTCATGGCCTAGTGCAAGGATCAAATGCGGAGTGGAGCTTTGGCTGTAACACTGTAGCAGCGTGAAGAACAGAACGACAGAATCAAATTAGGAACAGCAGGCACACAAAAAAGGGTGTTCTCTATTGTATCTATTTGTTCCATAGAAAACCTTTTTCTCATTCATATGCGAAGGCATTGTACTTATTGCGCCCCCAGTTCAGGTGTTACTGGGCCATCAGAGTGTCCCTGGCTTTGCAGATTACAAAAACGTACCACATTGGTGTGCTGCCATGTTTAACATACTTGTCGTCTATTCTTCAGTTCGTCTTTACGTTCACTGCACGTTATGTTTTATTTCCGTCACTGCCTGCAAAACAAAACCTCCTAGAAACGTTTTAGAGCTGTGCAATAAATATTTTTATTACAACAAAGATATATAGAAGCTTTTAAGAAGTGAATCTACTGAATGACACTAGGTAGCGCTGGAGAAAATTATGCAATGAATGGATAACAAACGGCTGTAACGTGCTAGACCACGCCATTCGAATCAGGTTGACGCAGGAGTGTTTTTGTGTAGGGCTACCTTGTCACGTGTTTAAAGATATGAACCAAAGCACAAATTAGGACAAAGCACGGGGACTCGTTCTGTGTGTTACCCACAGAGACAAAAAAATTGCTGACGCATTGCAGGAGTTGGTCAAAGATTCAAAGTGATTGAAAGGCCGACTCCGGCGATTTTTTTACCATGTCAGCATGGTGGTGCTTTTATGTTCCTTAGACACTGTTCTCACGCGCCCAATAACTGAAATCCTAAAAATTGAAACAAAAATAAGTTTTAATTGCCGAAATACCGTAATACCAAAACCAAACGCCAACTGAGTGCGCTTCTACGTGTGAGGTGAAGATTTGCCTGACGCTTCCGGAACCTGCCGATTGCACACGATGCCCACCAGACGGCACTACCTGTCCACGTCATCCGCGGCGATTAGCTAAAACGCTTACGTTATTATGGTGAATATATGGCGAATTGTGTGTGGCTCACAACGCAACACCACTTCGCACCTATCGCACGCCCACCAACACAGAAAAGGATATCACACGCCTAACCAAAGAAGCGATGGCCAAACTCACACAATCCAGAGCAGACAACCAGACGCTGCAGTGGCACATCAGTTCGTCACTTCCGCCTGGTAAAACTCAACGCCACACACACACAATGTTGCCAATATATCTGGCAAGCCAGGTGAGTGCTTCGAATCAAGCTTTAAATCTCAATTTAAGAGAATCTCCAAACTCGCAAGCCTGCAATTTGGCATGAATGGCGCAAACCTGCAAGTGAACATGCCCACTAAATTTCATTCAGATCCGCTCACCTCTCCGATTCATTGTTTTGTACTTCAAGATAGTTCATTCTACAATGAATTACTCTGTATTTTTTCTCTTTTTCTTTTCTTCAGTAGATCAGTGCTATCCTTTTATTAAAGAATTCCTTTATGAATTATTTCCGGTTTTGGAAACTTCTCCAGCGTGGGTGTGCGCCACAGATTCAAGGAACGTCACTTGGCTTCGCTTGTGCTTCACATCTCTCCTTGTTCTTCTTTGCCCACTGACAACCGAGACGACATGTTGGTGCGTAGGTGAGTAGCAAGGATAGGGTGGGTGTGCATAGTGAAAACAAAGGATGAGCGCCGGGCTTTCAAAGAACGATGACGAGCTCTGAGAAGAGAGTGCTCCGTTTCCCTCCACTGGTCACCCTGTTATAAACACCTGTTATGAAATGGGCAATTGTGCGTACTTTTCATTCACCGTTCCATGAGAAGCGCCCCGCCACGGAGGTCTAGTAGCTAAGGTACTCGGCTGCTGACCCGCAGGTCACGTAATTGAATCTCGGCTGCAGCAGCTAAATTTCCGATGGAGGTGGAAAGGTAGGCCCGTGTGCTCAGATTTGAGATTTGTGTGCTCAGATTTTGACTAGGGCGTCCCTCATAATGATATGGTGGTTCGAGGACGGTTAACCTCACATATCAAATCTATTCATGGCAAGCATATGTATCGGGATAGTTGTGAAATGACGTTACTGGTCATACGACTGCGCCTACACTGAATGTATGCGTCGAGGCTCCCTGAAAAATGAGATGAGCGACATAGTACGTCTGTTGACAGCAAAAATGATCGGATGCTGGCTCTTGCTTTATTGTGGATGGTACTAAAAAGCATGGTTAGGAAGCCGAACGCTTACGTTGACACTTTTAGTATCAAAGGAAACGTTACCACACATCGCTGATATTTGTGAGCAAGCCATGAAACAGTAGATAATTATTATTTCCGAACCAGCCTCAACTCAGCTACGGGTGCTTGCCGGGATAGCAGTCGAGCCTTTCTCCTTCGTATGACAAAGCGACCGCTTGTGTCAACTAGCTGCCATTTATGTGCGCTAAGACAGCCTGGGTGGCATTTGCGGCGCAGGTGCAATCGATCATTTGAATAAGGGTGCAAATGTTTTCTACAACGTTGTGAAGTTCGAGTTTTGTGAATTTAAACCATTGTATTATCAGTTAAAACTGAAATTCGGGGGTATTCTCCTTGTGCAAGCTCATTTATTATACCCTTTATTATAGAAACAGAAATGCATAACCTTCAGGCATGTATGCTTGCGTAACCACTAAATGCAGTGGGGCATGGTGTTCTGCTAATTACGAGAATTGTTTCAATTCAATAGTTTTGTATAGTACTTAAAATATCTTCTGAATAAATTAAATTAACTAAATAGTAAAGCAATATGTTAGATATTTAGGAAACCCTTACAAGTATCTGCGCCAAGAAACATGAAATACCATATTTTATTCGAATCATTGCGTTGTCTCCCCAAATAGAGACATAAGGTACTCAATGATAAGATAGCAAAAACTTTTTAACAGTACGTCACACTATGTATTACGCACTTCATAAAATATCGGGCCTCTTTAGCTCAACTTAGACATTAAAATAGCATCCTTGTGCGCTGACTCACTACAAAATGTTACCTAGGAACTATAACGTGTACGTAAGTATTTTATTATGTATACGCTTGAGCCTTGTAGCAATCGCCGAATGTTGATGAAATGAGAAATCTGTGACTGAGTTTAAGTTTTGTCATCAAGCCCTCTAGTAGCTCAGTTGATGGGAGGGTTTGCCAATATCGAGAAAGTGGGTTCAATTGCCGACTACGGCATCCTCAAATGTTTGGGCTAAATGTTCTTTCTGAAACCACGAGTGTTCAAGCTTAATGCATGATTACCCATTACATTTCGTCTTCTGATAATATTTTAGGTAAATTAAGATTTCAGCCATTAAAATAAAAAAAATGGCATGACTTTATAAAATCCAAAAAGAAATACTCATCGTAAGAGTACAGAAAAAGAATACATACCCAACGGATCCCTTCTTTCTTCAATGTCTTTCGATGCGCATGCAGTTTGTGTGAAAGGCGAAATGACGGGCACCAACACCATCACAAGTGTTAGAGCAGATGCCATTACCCCACAGGTGTCTAAATAACATGGGCGTAAGCTGAGACACCACGCTTTGTCGAAGCCTATATTCGCGGGTACTCTTTTAAAAGAAGTATCATTGGGATCACAAGCTGTTTTTTTGTGTCTCACAAAATGCGGATATGTTGCAAATGAATGTCGAGCTGGTGACTCCAAAAGTCAGCGTTGAATTCTGCTTTGTAGAGATAGGGTGAGAATGTATTTATACATGCGCGCTCATTATGTTTGATCGAAAGGTAAAAATGTTTCTTGTAAAAATGAAGATGAATAACTAATGTAGCTGTAGCAAACGTTCCCCTATGTGTTATTGTTAGATTGAAAAATGATCTGCTCTCTTTGACTCAAGTTGCAGTGACTGGGCGAGCAGCTGAGCACATTTGCACTGAATGGTACTTTAAAAAGCTGTTTCAGCCTAATATCGTCGGACCAATACTAACACGGTAGCGTTAAAATGATAGATTCCCCGATAATGTCGTGCCTTTGTAGACGTCATGGGTTGCGAGCAAAAAAATGATCACTTTGTGCGCAACTAGAAATTGGGAAAGATACAAATGCAACGAACTAAAATACTTATTTTGAGTGGGAAGCTCACCTACAGAGTCTGCGCGGTAACCAGGTGCTCAAAAACAGAGCCCCGATATTACATCAAATCACTATGAAAAAAAAAACTGCGTGAACGTTACGTATAGGGAGTGAAATAATGTTCCATACTGTAAGTAACATGGCGTGGTAGGAGAGAAGAATCGCGACAAGGGTCTAAATTTGTAATCTCTTGCAACGGGCTCGTACTCTTCAGGCCTGCTTATTAGAAAGCGGCACATTTATTCGTCATCATCTGCAAAAATATTTAAAAAGTTCTCAGCGGCGTAATTTCGCATGTTGCCTTGCGAACACGTTCGTGTGCCCTTCGCTTGTTTGCAAAAAGGTGGATCATGGCGTAGTGAGCACTTCTAGCCTTATTACAACAACAATTTTGGGACGTTCAAATACGCTAAGTGACTAACCCCTGGACATGCGCGTTTGAGTAGCACATTGCTGCTGATGAAAATTCCGGTAATAATTGACGTCAAAATAATTCTATGTTTTACGTTGGCAATACAATTCGACTTGAAACTGCAAGCATCGCACCTGAGTAGAGAATAACAACTACAACTGACCAGCTTGATGTGAATTGGAGGTCACTCCTCGTAGATGAGTGAAAACTACCAGCATAACGCTTAGTGTTCATGCTTTTCAGCATTTCGTTTTTTTAGCTATGACTGTTCATTAGTATCTATGTGTATTTCATCCATAACTATTTTTTTTTGCAAAAAGAATATGTGTTGCAAGGGTGCAAGCCGTCTTTCCACTTTTTTTGCGTAAAGCTTGGAACAACTGCTTGTCAAACGTCCTTTAAACAAATGTTCTTTCCAAATAAGTGCCCAGAAGTTTTTCTACAAAATGATTGTAGATTCGTCAGTTGAAATCAACTTTTCAAACTGTTACGTGTTTGTGAGTTTCTCATGTTGTCTTGACAATTTACTATTCGGTCCACATTGGGGATTTTGTTGTTACGTTGTAAAACGAGAATGAGTGAAATGCCATACTTTGATTATGGTCCGAGCGTTAGTGAACTTTACTAGAAGAAAAGAACAGTTTTAGACGTATCTATCGAAAAAAAATTGTATGAAACCAGTGAGGCAGCCGCAAGAAGGCGCATAATTTTCTTATCGCATTCTTTGTCTGAAATTTAACATTGTCTTAGCTTGGTATGAATGGGGTGACAAGCGCATTTGCTAGCTACATTCGTTGTCTGCTGACTAAGAAAGATTTATGAGTTTACTTTTTCTTTTACATGTTCCTGCCGTGCGTTTCTATGTAACCATCGAATGGCTTCTAAAAATAAATTTATTGCCTAACAACTCAAACACTGCAGTACTGGTTACAACCCAGTAACCATGAGATTATCTACAGATTTGTCATACACTGTAAGTTATTCCTCTTTACTCCCGTCCCATTGAACAGGGCGTGACAGCACACTGTAGAGGCGTTATTTTAAGTGCGTGCCATGAAGTCGAACTCCCCTCCGCCTTTTTAACATGAAATAATTTCATGCCTTGTTCCCCCAAGGCTTCACTGACGCATTTCAGTCACATAAATAGAGTCACTAAAATAAAAAATAAACAAAAAAATGCTAGATTTCTATTACCTGGGAGTCGAACGAGCCACCGCCTTGTCCGCAACTATGAGTCTTATTTCAGCTCATGTCCTCGGTAAGGCAAGTATTCGTATGGCCCTGATTGAGTGCTTGTGACATCGCCAGTGCACACGTCAACTCGGCTCTATGCGCGTAGACTTGCATCATACACCGGGCAGTTTGCAGAAAATCTTTACGTTCCGGATGGCAACCCTCTGTTGGCCGAATGGTCATATATAATATGCATACATTCAAGACAGGGTCAGTGAGAGAGCATTCAAGCCTGCGTGCACATTCTTGCATTGAAAAAAAAAGTGACTACACGACGCCTAGCAGATAAATTCAATACCATCCAATTTAGTTTTCCTAAAAAAGCCGGCGAAAGAGAACGTGCTTACGCAACGAGAAAACTGACTTTCGTTTTACTTATCGCGTCAAGATAAACTACGCAGTATGCAAACACTGCGCACTAAGGTATGATCTGTCGGCTGATATCCAAACTAGAAAACAATTCACTGAGCGAAGATGGGCGACAAAAGGAGCCGCACCGCGAATTCGTGCGCCTGCTCTGCACTCTTTTGCATAAGTGCGGTGTGCCAAGTTCCTTCCAGTAATGTGTAGTAGCTTGATACTTACTACGGATGATTGTGCAAATGCAGCATGTCAACTCGACTGATTGAAAGCATTCGTTGTCCCACTACTTCAAACTGAGCACCAATGATCTCATTGGTTTAATGCCAAAACTAAACTGAATGTCTCGCACTGTTGTCTAGACGGCACTAGCTGATTTTACATACATATTGGGACACAAAAATAGTCAAGTGTGTTGTCTTCAGCTCTGCTATTACAGCGTGACTCAATGTTACAGTGACTTGAGTGTCTGCATCAAATTAAATGCTATGTAGTTTGAACATGTCATTGACTCATTAAAATATCTAACGCCGGGTAGCTCACACAGGCACAGGAAAGGGAGACACCAGCTTCTGATATTTTTAGTATTATATTTTCTAGCGCAGCATGGTAACGCGAACCAATTTGTTGTACGCATCTTACCCAATTCAGTTAAATTTTCCTTGAAAAAATCCGTTGCAGTTCCTGTCAAAGCCGCCCATGACGCAGCGATTCAACCGTGGTGAATTATACTAAAAGATCTTTCGGAACCATCGTCCAAAGGCTAGATGAGGGGTGCAGTAGCACGCTACAAAATAAGGAGAGAATAAAAGAAGTCCTATGATACGTACCCAAATCTCATACACGTGTAAGTAGAAATGAAAAAGCACAATACATGTACAGCAATTTCAAGTAAGTAGGTGTAAAATTTCTTGTTAGAAGTACCAATAAATTTCGCTGCGACAACTGCTGTAGCTAGGTTCTGACTGAAACTGCGCGTGGTGACAAGGTCGAGTGGCAAAGAATGAAACCAATTACACTGTGATAAAGTGGGCGACCTATCAAGCCACCTGGGTGGGGCACTGCACCGTGGCTACACGATTATATTCAAGGAGGACAATACGATTGTTTTAAGGTATTTCTCTTTACCATTGATGCCGACAAAAGTCTCACGAGACCTCGCAGTTACTACTGACGTCATGGCAGCCAATATTATCCCAGAAGTTTACAAGTACAATACCCTCATTTTTCATGATTTGAGCATAACGTCTGTGTTTATTGACTTATTACCGCACAGTAAAATATTTTTGCTTTCGTGGTGAAACTTTCTTTAGAAATTTTCGCGTCATAGCATTAGCCAATCAACTTTAAATCACTCTTTCGTTATTGCTCAAGGTGCCTTATTGGTATGCAAACTACTTCACACACAGTAAACTTCTTTGATCCGAATAATCATATCATCCTAAACCTATACCTCTAAAATACATTAACATTTTTCCGGCATGAAAGAAAGCTGATAAATAAAACTTGCACACAAAACTTGGCAAACAAAGCGTGCAAGTGTTCCTATTTTTTGCCCTAATGGGCACGCAGCAACATTGTGAACAGCTTTTAATTATTCTCCGTAAAGCTTTCAGATGTCAGCAATTTAACTTGTACTGGTAAACACCAATAATGACTGCTATTTGTGACCCTCGACAGATAATAGCTCCTTTCTAATCTTTCATTGGTTTGTCGCAAGACAACTAAGTGCTACGGTGTCAGTAGCACATTTCACAGGGTTTATTGAGAAAATATTAGAACCATCATGTTTTGTTTTTATGTTATTATCTCGATGGCGTTGCCTATGTTTTTCGGGAGACTTAAAGTCATGCCACCACCCCCCTCTCCGCAATCGGGAGGTCTGTCAGAAATTCGGGAGATTCCCGTCCAAAAACGAGATTTTACAGATGTGGGCGTCCGCAAAAATAAATAGTGTTAAACTTTAAGTTATCATGTTTAACTCTTTGGTTAAGACCACCCGCTTCCTCTTTCGGCCCTCGTCTACATTTTTGTTTAACTTTAAGGCAATATCTTGCATTGATGTAGCAGCCACGTGTATACATAGATGGCCCCGCCAAGAGCGTAGCAGCCCACGTGAATTCTTAGCGTATGAACTTTTTTTTTCCTAAATAAGGACTATCATATATACCGAAATATACGGGTTAAGAAGCACGAACAGGTAGTTTTACATGTATTTTGAACAACTGTAAGTGACTACCATGGAGGAACCTTGAATGCGGAGAAACTTCCGTATTACAAATGAGGCACATACCGGGAGGATATATGCCACGCCAGGCGCAGGTCACC